ACCCTGGGCAAGTTTGAGAATCGCTGTCAGACATTGGTTGCCAAAAGCAGCTGCTTTCCCGAGGAGTTTGGCTGCATGTTGAAGCGAGCGTGAGAGGCACTCATCTCCCCAGTTCATGCCGGACTTTGGGTCCCTGACACAGCCCGGGCCCTAAAACACTCTAATCCCTAATACAAACTGTTCTCAAACCAACCCTGGTCCCTAACACACCCCAGTCCCTAACACGCCCCGGTCCCTAACACGCCCCAGTCCCAACGGGTCCTTCTTCTCTAAGTCGCAGACTGGCAGGGTCACTGCTCCTGGGAGTGGGTGCTTTTGGGTTTTGACAGGTAGCTTTTCTCTTCACCTGAGGGCATCTCACTCCCCGGGGAAGGCAATGACTCACAGGAACCCGGAGGGAAGGAACTGACGAATTTCCTGACTACCTCTGCCTCTTGCTCATCTAATTAGCATTGTCGCCATCATTTCGTTCCAGGTGACATTTGGTGAACACTGCTGAGTGGGGTGGGGTGGCCAGGAGCGGGTGCTTCCTCCTATGGGAGACGGAGCACGAGAGGAAATGCTTTCCCAGCCCGGCTTGGCCTATTCTAACCACAAGGCACTGGGAAAATCAGAACTGAGAAACGGGGACAATGGGCAAAGCTGCCGGAGGTCACGCCAACAGGCGGAGAACACAGGGGCTCGAACATGTGGGCTCCTGCGCAGACCCCTCGGGGCTCGGCAGTGCCTTTGTCTGCACCCCCCAAGGGCACCTGGTGTGGGGAAAGTGGAAGCCGAGACATGCACTTCTGTAGCCCCCAGCGAGGGCCATGTCAGGGCTGGACCTGCCAGGGGGAGGCCAGGGCTGGACTGTTCTGGGTCAGTGAGTGCAGCCAGACTCCTGGCCCTGTGTGTGTGGACAGGGGTGACCTCAAGGAGGCTATGGCCCGGCCCTCGCTGTGTGCGTGTCCAGAGTGGGGAGGAGGTGGAGTGGGCGTGTCCCTGAGGCAGAGTGGACGCAGGCTCTGCAGTGGGCACAGCAGGCACCTCTGGCAGCAAGTGCCCCTGGCTGCCTGCAGGGCACAGCCCGCTGTGCCTGAGGAATGACGCCTGTGCCCAGGGGACTGGGGGCAATGACCACTCCTGGCCCATGCTGAGTAGAGACCAGAGCCTGAGGCCCGCGGGGACGCCCACTCATGACTGCCTGACTCAGAGCAATGCCCCGAGCTCCGGCCGGGCACGGTGCCACTGCCTCCTGCCCGTCTCCATCTCACACAGCCCAGGGCAGTTCCCCAACAGCACCCGGGTTGCTGAGGGAGGAAGCACCAGCCCCCCCCCCCAGCCCTCTGCCAGAGGGGCCGCCTCTCAGTGCAGGAGGTGGGGGGTGTCTCCAGATGTGCCCCTGGGACGGCCAGTTCACACTGTACGTCCCTGCCCCCCCCCACCTGACATCACTCAGGCACCCACACACACCCCTCAAGGTCCTGGTGCCTGGGGAGACTCGGATATCAGTTCCCCTGGGACAAGCAAGGACCTGGGGCAGCCAAAGTAAAGCATGGGACTGCGGGGCCCCTTGCGGAAGGCGCTCAGCCCCAAGCCGGCCACTCCCGCTGACCCAGCTCTGAGCCGGCCGCTCCCTCCGGCCCAGCCAGAAAGCAGACCCAACCCGAGTTGGTCTGAGTGTCCACTCTCAGGAATGTGCATGGGAAGGCCACACTCTTGAGCGGCAAGTCACCCGTGAGGGCCCATCACTAGAGCCCACCTCCACGCATGGGAGAGAAGGACTGGAGAGAGGACAGCTGCAGCCACACTGCCCTGTCCACCCTCCCCCCTAAGAGTGGACAGCTGCAGCCACGCTGCTGTCCAACCTCCCCTCCTAGAGTGGACAGCTGCAGCCGTGTCACCCCGTCCGCCCTCCCTTCCACCTTCCTTTGGAGCCACACTGGCTTGCACCCTGATGGCATCTGGGGTACATGGAGAGTCCCATCTGGGTGTCCTACACACACCCCAGTGACCACCCTCCTCCACTTTGCTTTTGGTGGCCAGTGGTGCTTTGGGACGGCCGTGGTTCAAAGGGCAGTGTCGACTCTTCTCAGGCATGTGTGGGGACCTCGGTTGTAACTTCAGTGACTTTATTAAAGTCAGACCAACTCATTCCCCACTCGTGCTGGTCCCTGCCTCAGGATGGGGTGGGCCCACGTGGCCTCGTGGCTCTGGCTCCCGGGAGCACAGAGAAGCCCAGCGCGTGACCCAGAGCTCAGAGCTTTCCAGGAAATGGAGAAGCTCCCTGGTGGGGAGGCGATGCCTTGCCACACGGCAGGTACCCACTCCTTGACCTTGGGGTTCCGTTCAAGTCCCACGCGTGTGCCTAACGGGATCGAGCTGAACCCTTACGTCTCCCGAGAGGCTCTCCGGTGGCCTTGTTTCCGACATGGACAGGAGCAGCCGTCAATGTGCCATCGCAGTGTGAACGCACCGTCACACCTCAGGGACTCCCCCGTGGCAGAGCGGAGAGTGAGCTGCCTGAAGCCGGCGTGTGAGGGAGCAGTCCGGCAGGAACAGTGGGCAGTCCTGGCAGCAACAACAAATAGATGGGCAGTAGCAACAGACAGCCGGGCAGTAACGAGGAGCAGATGAGAAGAGGAGAAGTAGCAGTGGACAGCCAGGCGATAACCACGGGCGGTGCTGGGAGTAACCACGCACAGCCAGCACCTTGGTCTCTGTATAGCACGGCAGGACAGCAGGCAGCGCGTGCGGAGAACAGGCGCCGCTGCCGTTCCTGGGCAGCGGGCGCCCTCTGCTGGAACGACTGGCGCCTCTCCTCGCTGGCCCGGCGCTCACAGGGCAGCTTCTCCTTTCAGCGTACTGAGAGGTGGGTTCGTGGTACCAGTTGAGGTCTCACTCGGAGAGGCCAAAAGCAAGAACCAAAGACAAGCCCAGAGAACCCCTCCCCGCGTCTGTCTTGCCACAGAAGGGACGTCCCCACGTCAGTCATCTTCAAGAGAACCGAGTGGTCTCCTCTCGCTGAGGGGGCAGGTTAAGGACTGCCGGAGCGAGCACTCCTACGAGCTGAACGAGAGCTCGGGTCAGCCAGGCCCGGGGGCTGCCCGCAGGCAGCTGGAAACAGCAAACGTTGAGTCCCTTGAGACCATCTCTAGAGACCACGCGCCGCCTAACTCCTGTCTCACGGACTGTCTCGAACCTAGTTCAGCCCGAAAGCCTCCCAGGCCGAAGCGGAACCAGAATCTTCCTTTCTAACCTTCCACTCTGGCTGACTCCATGGCTCTGCCCTTGCCTCTGTAGAAAAGCCCAATCTTTTGTCCGACCACGTGAGGAGATAAACCGCTGCGTGGTGTGAGGCTTTGCTGTTCCCTCCCTGGGGGCGCTGTGCTCGACCCACACACCCGAGACTTACAGCTCGGGGCAAATAAGGTACTTGGAAGTTCCCTTCACGGGGCTGTCTCTCCTCCAGCTGGCAGCAAGAGCCCCGGACTGTGATCCTTCCCACTTGTCGCCTCTCCAGAGGCTTGCCCCTCTGTGTCACACGCCCCCTCCCATCCTGTCACATCGTGTCCCCTCACAGCATGTCCCCCTCACGGGTCTTCTCACACGACATTCCCCCTCACATCGCGGTCTCCTCACATCTCTTCCCCGTTAGTTTTCTGTACAGGAAAGGAGGGTGGCTCCAGGCCCCCCCCCCAAGAGTCCGGGCCTCTCCTCACCCCGTGAGCGCTGACCAGGCCCTGTCCTGACACTGCCCGGTCCCGTGACCGACCTCCCTGCCCCGTCCCCGCTGCCCACCGGCCTCCCTGGACCGCTGACCAGGCCCTGTTCCTGTCCCCTCCCCACCCCAGGCCGTCCCCCCTCTCCGGCCACAGCAGCTCCGCGGGCAAGACCCCGAGTACTGTCGCCTCGTCTCTGGTCCCGGGCCCAGGACCATGTCACTGGCCGAGCTGGGCCCCATGTCTGGGGGCGCCCGCCGAGCGGATGGGGTAGGGGGAGAGACCGCGAGAGAGCGCCAGCCGGGCGAGGACTCCTCTCACCTGCGGCCAAATCGCACCCCAGCCCCCGGGGAGTGAGCTCCTGCGGCACTGGCCCCCCACCCCTCACATCACCCCACGTCCCTGCGCAGCACGTCACTCCCCCACGTCACACCCCCTCACAATCACGTCACTTCCCAACCTTACGTCACGCCCCTTCACATCATGTCACTCCCCAACCTTATGTCACGTCCCTTCAGATCACGTCACTCCCCCACGCCACGCCCCCTCACATCATGTCACGCCCCCTCACAATCACGTCACTCCCCAAAGTTATGTCACGTCCCCTCACATCACGTCACGTCCCCCCCACGTCACGTCCCCTCACAATCACGTCACTCCCCAGAGTTACGTCACGTCCCCCCTCACATCACGTCAAGTCCCTTCACATCACTCCTCCACGCCACGCCCCCTCACGTCACGTCACTCTCTTACGTCATGTCTCGTCTCCTCAGATCACGTCATTCCCACACGTCACGTCCCCTCACATCATGTCACGCCCCCTCACAATCACGTCACTCCCCAAAGTCACGTCATGTCCCCCTCACATCACGTCACTCCCCCCACGCCACGCCCCCTCAGATCACGTCACTCTCTCACGTCATGCCTCGTCCCCTCAGATCACGTCACTCCCCCCTCGTCCCGTCACGTCCCCTCGCAGCACGCGTCCCCGGGTTCCCCCCACCCCCCGGGCGGCGCCGCGGGTGCGAGGCGAGGCCGGGCGGGGCGGGCCGGGGGCGGGGCGCGGGCGGGCTCCGAGCCGCAGTCCCTGGCCGAGCCGGCGCGGCGCGGTGACGTCAAGCGCCCGCGCCGCCGCCGCCTGCGGGCGAGCACGTGACCCCACCCCGGCGCCGCGGCCCCTGCTGGCGACGCGCGGCCTCACGCGCCCGCCCCTTCCGGCGCGCTCGGCCCCGCCCCTTCCGGCGCCCGGCCCGCCCCTTCCGCGCGCCCCTTCCGGCCCGGCCCGGCCCGGCGGTCGTCGCGATGGGCGCGCGCGCGCTCGAGGGCTACTTCTTCTCGGCCGCGCTGAGCTGCAGCTTCCTGGGCTCGTGCCTGCTCTTCTCGGCCGTGGGCCGCGCGCTGCGGGAGCCCTACATGGACGAGGCCTTCCACCTGCCGCAGGCGCAGCGCTTCTGCGAGGGCCGCTTCTCCCCGGCGGAGGTGCGCGCGCGGGGTGCAGGGCAGGTGCGGGGGGGGGTGCAGGTGCAGGTGGGTGCCGGCCTGGGTGCAGGGCAGGTGAGGCTGAGGCATGCGTGCGGTGCAGGGGGTGCAGGCCTGGGTGCAGGGCAGGTGAGGCTGAGGCATGCGTGCGGTGCAGGGGGTGCAGGCCTGGGTGCAGGGCAGGTGCAGGGGTGGGTCCAGGTGCAGGTGGGTGCAGGCCTGGGTGCAGGGCAGGTGAGGCTGAGGCATGCGTGCGGTGCAGGGGGTGCCGGCCTGGGTGCAGGGCAGGTGCGGGGGTGGGTCCAGGTGCAGGTGGGTGCAGGCCTGGGTGCAGGGCAGGTGAGGCTGAGGCATGCGTGCGGTGCAGGGGGTGCCGGCCTGGGTGCAGGACAGGTGCGGGGGTGGGTCCAGGTGCAGGTGGGTGCCGGCCTGGGTGCAGGGCAGGTGAGGCTGAGGCATGCGTGCGGTGCAGGGGGTGCAGGCCTGGGTCCAGGGCAGGTGCGGGGGTGGGTCCAGGTGCAGGTGGGTGCCGGCCTGGGTGCAGGACAGGTGCAGGGGTGGGTCCAGGTGCAGGTGGGTGCAGGCCTGGGTGCAGAGCAGGTGAGGCTGAGGCATGCGTGCGGTGCAGGGGGTGCAGGCATGGGTGCGGGTGCAGGGCAGGTGACGGCGAGGCATGGGTCGGTGCAGGTGAGCAGGTGAGCGCAGCACAGGTGTGGCTACGGGCGGTGTGGACACGGGCACGGCGCGGGTGCGCCTGTGTCCTCGCCAGCCGGCCGAGTCTCTGCAAGCCCCCCTGGCTCGGGTTGGGGTCCCGCCGTCCGCACCCAGCGCCTGGAGCCCCCTCTCTCTCTGCCCCCCCTGCCCTCCACTGGCCGCTGCTCCCGCGCGTGGGGGTTGGGCGGGACAGAGAGCAGCCTCCTCCCTCCCTCCTCCAACTCACTCTGCACCCCCTCCCCCGCAGTGGGACCCGATGATCACGACGCTGCCCGGCCTGTACCTGGTGTCGGTGGGCGTGGTGAAGCCCGTGGGCTGGGCCCTGGGCTGGCCCGACCACGCCGTCTGCTCCATCGGGATGCTGCGCTTCGTCAACCTGCTCTTCAGCGTCGGCAACTTCTACCTGCTGTACCTGCTGCTCCTCCGGCTGCACCCCGGGGCCAAGGTGGGTGGACGTTCTCGCCTTTGGTTTTGGTTTTGCAGCCACAGCTGCATCACCGGCTGCCCCCATCTCTGCCGGGCACTGGGGTGGGGCTGCCTTCCTGCAGAGCTACTTTCCCAGCCCTGATAAACTTCCTTCGGAGTCTGCAGTGGTTGGTAGTATACCCATGTGTGGGCGAGAAGTGGATGCCCGGGTCTTCTCTGTCTGGCTCCTGACATAAGCAGCTGCTTGTGGGCCCAGGGCTACTGAGAGTTTTTCCGCGCTCGCGCTTTGCTGCTGGCGCTGCTTGTGCAGAGGGAAGGGGACATCCGTCCCCTGCTTGGAGAGCTCGTGCGTTGAGTGAGGATCCTCCGCCGCCTGGGGTTTGTGGGACTCGCGGCATCTGCCCTGATCCACCGAGGGCCTCTGGGCGGAGACTTCGGGCTGCCTGCCTGACCCCGGATGGGTGGGGTGCTCGGAAACCTCTCGCCAGCATGGTGTTGACCAGCCGGCGTTGGAGGAGGACGCGGGCAGCCTTGTCGGCCACCCCCACCCCCCGCACCCGTGACGGGCCGTCGGTCTCTCCCCACAGGCGTCCGGCGTGCAGCGGGTCCTGAGCACGGTGACCCTGGCCGCCTTCCCCGTGCTCTTCTTCTTCAACTTCCTCTACTACACCGAGGCGGGCTCCGTGTTCTTCACCCTCTTCTGCTACCTGATGTGCCTCTACGGCCACCACAAGACGGCCGCCCTGCTGGGCTTCTGCGCCTTCCTGCTCCGCCAGACCAACATCGTGTGGGCCGCCTTCTGCGCCGGCAGCCTCGTGGCCCAGCGGCTGGCCGAGGCCTGGGCCACGGAGCTGGCCAAGCGCAAGGAGGGCCGGCCGCCGCGCTCGGACCTGGGGCCGCTGCTCCGCTTCCTGGGGGCCTTCTGCGCGCGCCCGCGGAACCTGTGGGCGCTGCTGCGGCCGACCTGGCCCTACGCGCTGCTGGCGCTGCTCTTCGGCGCCTTCGTGGCGGCCAACGGCGGCATCGTGGTGGGCGACCGCAGCAGCCACGAGGCCTGCCTGCACGTGCCGCAGCTCTTCTACTTCTGCGGCTTCACGCTCTGCTTCTCGGCCCCGCACCTGCTGGCCGCCGGCCGGCTCGGGGCCTTCCTGCGCCTGGCCTGGCGGCGCCGCGGGGCCTGCGCGCTGCTGGCCGCGCTCGGGCTCCTGGCCGTGTGGCGCTTCAGCTACGCGCACAAGTACCTGCTGGCCGACAACCGGCACTTCACCTTCTACGTGTGGCGGCGCCTGCTGCAGCGGCACGCGGCCGTGCCCTACCTGCTCGTGCCCGCCTACCTGTTCGCCGGCTGGGCCATCGCCGACGCGCTCCGGGCCAGGTCCGTCTTCTGGCGGCTGGCCTTCTTCGCCTGCGTGGCGGCCGCCACCGTGCCGCAGAAGCTGCTCGAGTTCCGCTACTTCATCCTGCCCTACGTCCTGTTCAGGCTGCACCTCCCGCCGCCGTCCATCCCCCGGCTGGCCTGCGAGCTGGGCGGCTACGTGGCCGTCAACCTGCTGACCTTCCACCTCTTCCTGAACAGGACGTTCCGGTGGCCCAACAGTCAGGACGTGCAGAGGTTCATGTGGTAGGGGCGGCTCGGCTCGGGCCCCGAGCGAGACCGCTTCCCCGGGCGGGCGGGCGGGTGACGTGGGGCGTCCTCCGGCACGTTGGCGGCGCTCGGGCCACGTCACGCGTGGGTGGGTGCCACGGCTGGAACGGGGAGGGGAGGGCTGGGAGAGACGGGCGGACGCACGGCCTGGGAGGGGGTGCCCGCCCCACGCACCCGGGACAGGGGCCGCTGCACTGCCCTGCGGGTCGGCCCCTGGGTCCCCGCAGTCAGTCTGCGGGTCGGCCCTTGGCCCTCTCGGGCCGGGCTGGTTCTCAGCAGCAGGTTCTGGAGCGTCTGAAGGTCCCTGTGCCCGAGGGGGTGGGCACTTCTCTGCCCACAGGGTCACGTCAGTCTCCTCGGGGTGCCTAGACTCGGGGACGGGAGATCTGGAGGTCAGCTCCTGTTTAAGGGCCAAGTGGTTGATTTAGGAGTTCTTCCGCTTGTCCCTAACGGGAGGTACGCAGTGTCCGCAGATACTCATGTCAGCGAGGACCATCCTAGTTTACGTTTTACTGGTTTTGGGGCCACACTCTGGTGCTCAGGGCTCACTCCGGACTGCCCAGGCCTCAGGTCTTATGGGCTCAGGGGAACCATTTTGGGGCCCAGGATCAAACCCGGGTAGGCCACGTGCAAGGCAGGGGCCCTCGCCTCTGCACTGTCTCTCTGGACCCGAGAGAATCGCTTCTACAGGGTTCCTTTGTTTCTGACACGTGACCTGTGTTCATTTCCCGATGCCGCCCTCGCTGGCGCTCCAAAGACTCAGGACCCTCGGAGCCCGCCCCCACCCACGCCGTCTGTCGGGCTGTTCTGGACACTTCCTGCCGTGACGGCAGTTTTCACAGACTGTTCAAAATCGGACTTTCTTGCCACTCTCAATTAGTGGGGAAACCTGCTGCTGAGCCCAGGACCTGCAGCCAGGCCCTGACGCCTGTCCAGGGGTTGGGGGGCTGTGGGCGGAGCATCTTCCTCGCGCATGGCCCGCTCCAGAGAGCAGGGCAGAGGCACGTGTGACTCGGCCCACGGGCTCGCGGACTCACCTGCAGCGCGTGGCCAGTGTCGGGAGAGCATCCCCTGGGCCCTGCCCGAGTGTCCTCGGGGCCGTGCCAGGTCCCGGGGCCGCCCTGCGTGGTTGCACCTCGCGGGAAGCTGGTTCTGGCTGGGCACCGGCCCCGCCATGGGGGTTCCTGGGTCACGTTGGCGACAGACCCAGTGTACTCGAGACGCGCGTGACTGACCTCGCTAATAAAAGGTGAAGGATACGTGTCTCGCGTGACTCCAGTGCCGGCGTGTCCACACACGGGAGTCGTTCCCGGGCTGGGTTCTGCCTCGCTTTGCAGCCGGCGCCTTAATGGCGCTCTGGCCCCCGGGCTTGAACTTGTCCGTGTGTGGCAGCCTGAGGCGGGGCTGTGAAAGGGGCCTTGTGGGGGGGCCCTCGCCAGCAGCCCACGCGGGGTCAGGGCTGGAGCTGCGGGGGCCATGGGCGGAGGTGCCAGGAGTGTCTCGCCTGGGGGAAGCCCTGGCACAGGCCACCCCCAGCTGCCAGGAAGGCCAGTTTGCTGCCCTGGCGGGCACATGTTCATTCAGGACAGACCCAGTGATGGCAGGTCAGGGCTGGGCCCCGGGATGCAGCATCACACGTCAGCTCCCCGCAGACCCCAGCAGCAGCTGTGGGTGTGCAGAGCTTGGGCACCCATTGGCTCAGGGCCCCGGAGGTGCCCGGCAGAAGGCCCGCCCCGTCTGTCTCCTCTCGTGCTGGCTCCCGCTGCAGAATTTGTCACGGTTCCTCCTGGCCAGGAGCAGCATGGAGCCTCCGGATTAGCTGCCCTGCCCCAAGTGCTTCCTGGGGTCCCGAGGGGCTGTGGGTGCGGGCAGAGGGGACTTCATTGCAGTATGACCCTCTGCCCGGGGGTGCACTGCCTGGCAGGAGCCTGGGGAACCCGGAGGCCAGGCCCAAGGTTCCGGCCATCACAGGAGCCTGACGGTCAGTCCTGTGCCCTCTGCCCTGTGGGGACCATCTTAGCCTGAGGCGGGAGCGTGTGGGCAGCGTGGGGAGGAGCGTTCGTGGCGTTGGCGTGTCCTGGGCCTGCAGACGCCTCACTGCCCTGTGTGGGGCCTGGGGTCCGGCCTGACCTCTGCGCTCGGGCCGGCTTCCCCCCAGCTGCTGTGGGCGGGGTCGTCATCCCTGAGGGCTCCTGGGGTGTCTGACATCTGTGGGGATATGGGCAGCCTGGGCAGGGCCGGCTGTGGGCGCCTCCTTTGGCCTGGCTGCCCCGAGGGCCTGGGACTGGGGTTCTGTCCTGGGGGGCTTGGGACCGGCCTGCCACCCGCCCCACAGTCACCTCTACAGGGCGTGCTGGCGAGCAGGCCGGGCCGGGTGCAGGTGCACGCGTTGTGCTGTAACCGTGTGCTTGTCTCATGTGCTGTGTGCCGTGTTGACAAGTTGTAGCCATGTGTCGCGTGCTGTGGCCATGTGTTCTGTGCTGTGACCACGTGTCGTGTGTTTTAGCCGTGTTCCGTGTGCCGGCCGCCCTGGGTCCCAGCAGGGGGAGGGGTGTGGAGCAGGAGCGGGCTGCCTGGAGGAGGCGACCCCTCCCTGCTCTCTGCCGGCTGCTCAGGGTCCTGTGCTGCCCCACCAGGGGGCGCTCTTGCTCTTCTCCCGGCCTCAGGCGGCGCCAGCTGGGTCCAGTCTCGGGGTTTGAGCTCCGTCAGGCAGGTTGGGATGTTCTGTGCACGGGACCACCGGAAGCGGCACCCCTCTCCCGTCCCCGCTGCCAGGCTGCGTGGGGAGCTTCTTCCCGCTCTCGGCCCCTGGTCACACTGTGTGGCGGGAAGGACAGAGCTAGTGGAGAGGGGCGTCCCGGGGAGTGACCGCAGGGCCCTGACAGTTGGCCGCGTCCCAGTGTTGCCCCAGCCAGGGCGTGAGAAGCCTGTGCGGGTGGCAGTGGGCAGTCACGAGTCTTCTCCGCTGGAGCGTGTTTGTACCACGGAGGCCGTCCTGTGCGTGTGTGTGTGTGTGTGTGTGCGTGTGTGTGTGCATGTGTACGCATGTTTGTATGCGTGTGCTGTGTGCATGTGTGCACATATGCTTGCATACGTGTGTGCATGCATGTGTGTATATGTGTGCTGTGTGCATGTGTGTGTCTGTGTGTGTGTGTGCACACGTGGCTTGCCGACCTGGCTCAGGACATGAGCCACATAGCCGAGAGACTGTGACTGCCCGCACGTATTTTGTTGTTTGCTCAGTAAATTCCCAGTTGCGTGTTTAGGATGGACTTGTGAGGAATCACTTGAGAGTTTACTTTCTTCCGAATCCTTTTGCCTGTGCAGGGTCCTCTCAGAGTGAAATCCCAGAGCTTTGTGGGAGACAGCTCCTGGTGGGAAACAACTGCCAAGGCTGTAGGAAGAAAATCTGGGTCGCAGTTGGTTTTCCGTGTCTCTGTGGGCTGAAATTCGGGGCTTGGCCTTTGGCAAGAAGGGCCGGGCCGGGGCCGGGGCTGCCTCTGAGATGGGACAGTGGACAGTGTCCCTGCGTGAACGCCCTGAGCAGCGCCAGACCCCGAACTGTTCCCGGAGCCCCGCCTCCCTGCAGGCCTCGAGGGGGCTCTGGGGTCCCTCTCGGACCCGGGTGTGAGGCCCTGGCGGGTGCCGTGAAAAGCCGCTACTCCCACACGCGGCCGAGTGCTCGGGGTGCTGCCTTCCGTGGCGTCACCTCCTGGGTGCTGCCCTGCTGGGTCCCTGCTGTTCTGGCTCCACAGCTGCTCTGGGGGTGGGAGCGTATGTCCCTGTCATGTTGCTCCCGTCTGAGTGCCCTCCCTCCTCCCCGGGGCCTGTTCCCACCCCAGTGCTCCCCCACTCCTGCTCCTGCTGTAGCTGCCCCTGTTGCTTAGGGCAGGGAGACACCTGGGAGCGGGAAACGGCAACGTGGTGTTTCTGCTGTTCTGCCGGGGCTCAGGGCAGGTCTGTCAGTGGGAACCGGTGCTCTGCCAAGCGAGGGGCCGGCACGTCCTGCCAGTGCCCTCTGCGGCCTCACCGCCCGCTCCCCGGGATGAGAGCCCTTCCGGGGAGTGGACCAGCGCCGGCACCACCAGAACCAGGCGCTGCTGGGGATCCGGCAGGGAGGGAGATAGCCATATCCTCCCAGAAGCCCCAGCACAGCGTCACGGCCACCGTGGCTGATGTCACGTGGCCACCAGCACCGTCCCTGCCAGCAATGACACCAGTATCTCAGATCCACCCTCCATGTCTCTCCCCAAAGCAGGCCCCACCCGCTGGTCTGGTCTCGGGGCTGGTGCCGAGACCGTGGGTGAGTCGGGGCCGCAGTGGGGGTGGGCCCAGTTCTCGTAAGGTCCCGCGGGCTGGACACTGGAGTCCAGACTGTCGGTGACCGATGAGACCCCAGCGGTGGCCCAGTCCTCCCTGTGTCTAACCCGCGAGTCTCTCGTCCGTGAAACGAGAGAAACCAAAGGTCACAGCACCTTGTCTCGGGGACACCCAGCCTCTGGGGCTTGGGGCTCAGCCTCAGGTTCGAGTCCAGCCTCCGTTCCCGAGGCAAGCTCGGCGGTGGGACTGGAACCTGACATGGGGTCTCACAGACAAGGCGCCGGCCGCTAAGGCAGTCTTCCTCAGCATTCACCCACGTCTGCCCCAGCTCACGACCTTCTGCCAGCGTTGAATGAACCATTAGAAAGTGCCCTGGAAAGGGCAGCGGGGGAGGGCGGCATCGTGCCCACCCGTGCAGGGGTGGAGGGTGCTGGGCCGGACCGGGGACACGTAGGTCACGGGTGGGACCTTTCGCTCTGCAGGGGAGCCTGGGATGTGTGTGCGGTTTGGTCCTATTTGATTTCTTTCGGGGGCTCTTTTGTCCCCCTGATGCCGTGCTGGGCACAGACCAGGCCCAGAGAGGGTGGCCTGGGCCCCTGAAGTGGCCCCTGGGCCCACCAGCCTTTCTGAGAGGGACAAGGCTGCGTGTGGAAGCCTCGGCCCGAGGAGGTGGCACCGAGGACGCGGGGCTGGAGC